CACGGACACGTTACATAACGATATTGAGCTGTTCATGCTTGCGCTTGCGCATGTTGAGGTGTCGGGCTTTGCAAGGCGATCATTGCTTTTTCCCGATTTTCGTGGGCTGAGTCGTGCGAAATTCCAGGCTTGTTGAGGGCATCTTCAGGACGGTATCTTTTCAGAATTGTTGGGGAGCGGCGCTGAAAAGGGCTTCGCTGTCTTCTTGACATCACTTTAGATCTCTGCGAGGCAATACGAACATGGTAGAAAGCCCCGCTATGGCAAGTCGGGGGGGTACTTGCGTTCAAAAGATGTTCAGACCGAGTTGCAGGGAATTCAGGGGCCAGCATCCTAAACCTTGTGAAAACTAGCCTAAAACTCAAAGCCTTAAAGCCTGAAAGCCTGAAAGCCTAAAATTTAAAGCCTTAAAGCCTTAAAGCCTCAAAGCCTGAAGCTGTAATTTAGGTGTGCTGAAGTCGAAGGTCGAAAGGTGGATCCCAGGCTTCGATGTTGCCGAAAGCTTACGCCTGCCGTCGCAGAGCGACGGCAGGTGAATCCTACTCCCGATACCTCCGAACCTTGAAGACATCCATCGAAGAACCTGAACCCTGAACTTGGGTTTTGGGGTTTAGGGCTTCGGAGCGATCCGAAACAGCTGAAGTCCAAACCCAAAGCCCAGGAACCATAGCCTCACCAAGCTGGATCTCAGCAAAAACCCGCTGGGAGATGCTCGCCAGATTTTTTGGTTGGTCGTGACGAAAGCACACATGCACACACAATGCCATCAACACAAGAGCCGGCGACATGCTGGCATGGACGTATAACTGCGGGGCTTCCGAGCTTCATGGCCGGCTTCATCTATACATCTATATCTATACATCTATATCTATATATATATATACATATATATATATATACATATATATATATATACACGTCTATATATATATATATATTATTTTTTGTCTGCTCTGTGGATGCTACAGCTACAACCTGTACTCGGTCCTTCTGAACCCCGGAGCCTTTTCAAGGTAGGAAGCTGATCCTGAGCCCTGGCTAGAGGTTTTAAAACTCAGCAGGGGCCGCAAGACGAGCTAAGACGTGAGGTCCGCAGTATATGCACCTTTCCTGCGATACGAAGCCCCATTTAGATCGACAGGGTATATGAACTCATGAGCCCCATTCGCACATAGCCCGCTTTGAAACGGGGCTCCAAAGTTCTCGTAAGCTGTGGAAAAGTCATTGCAGCAATACTGATACTGAGCTCCTAAGGCCAAGTCTTGTTCCAACCCAATGATATCGCAACCTTAAGCCCCTCAGCCCCTAAACCCCCAACGCAGTCCGTGCACACCCACAAATGATCCTAAAACCCCATCTAACTCCTTCAAGTCACTGTTTTGAATGCCCATCTATCCCCTAAGCCCTAAACCCCTAAATGGGAACCCTAAGCCCTAGACCCCTAAATGGGAACCCTAAACCCTACACCCCTAAATGGGAGCCCTAAAACTCTAAACCCTAAGCCCTAAACCCTAAACCCTAAACCCTAAACCCTGGACCCCAAAAACCCTAAACCCCAAACCCCTACTCCCCTAAATGGGAGCGAGGATGAGGGCGCCGAGAACTTGGCCGCTGGTCTCTGCCAGTCCCGGGCGCTTTCGAGCCTGGACCTCCAGGTCGGGTTCTGGGGTTCTAAAACAAAAACTGAATCCTTAAAGGGGTACCTATCAGGGTTTGGGGGTTTAGGGTTTAGAGTTTTGGGTTTAGGGTTTAGGGTTTTGGGTTTAGAGTTTAGGGTAGGGTTTAGAGTTTAGGGTTTAGGGTTTAGGGTTTAGGGTGTTGGGTGTTTAGGTTTTAGGGTGTGTAGGGTGTGTAGGGTGTTTAGGGTTTGGGGTGCTTAAGGTTTAGGGTTTAAGGTGTTTAGGTTTTCTAAAACCCGGTGTTTACGGTTTAGGGTTTGGGGTTTAGGGAACTGAATCGTTAAAAGGGTACCTATCAGGGTACCTATAAGGGTACCTGTAAGGGTACCTATAAGGATTTCTAAAAGGGTACCGATAAGGGTACCTGCTGTACCGATTATAAGGATACCTTTTAAGGGTACCTATAAGGATTTCGTTGAGGGTTCCTTGCAGGGTACCTTTCAGGGGTTTCTTCAAGGGTTCCTTGCAGGGTACCTTTTAAGGGTTTCTTCAAGGGTTCCTTGCAGGGTACCCGTTAAGGGTTCCTTTTAAGGGTGCCTTTCAAGGGTTCCTTTAAGGGTTCCCTAAACCCTAAACCCTAAACCCCTAAACCCTAAACCGTTAAGGAAACCGTCGGGCTCACCCCTCCTTCATTGGCCGTTGCCAAAACCAGGGCCCCTTTTGGATTCCCAAACTCCAGGTTGCGGTATGAGACTCGATAGCAACTCTTGTACCTGATATTCGGGTCGGGTCTGAAGTGAGGTTTCACGGGTATTACGTTAGATCATGCAAGTGCACCGTCACGGTTTGGTGAGTCTCAAGCCGAAGGCCTAAGTAAGTCTATAATCAGCCCCACAAAGGAACGCGCAGTTGAAAGGTGGTGGGCTCGTAAAACCCAAACGGTGCAAGTAACAGCATAGGTTTTGTACTTCTGGGGCCGATAGGCCCAGATACTTCCTGAGAGCCTACTATAATGATACATGGATCCTTTAAACCCTAAACCCTAAACCCTCAACCCTAAACCCTAAACCCTACACCCTAAACCCTAAACCCTCGTCAATGCTTATGCGGCGTGCACGGCAGGGTTAGCCTTTCACGATGTGTCTTGTCCGTAGCAGCGCAATGGGCAGGTTCATTAGGGTTTCGGGTTTAGGGTTTAGGGTTTAGGGGGCACGGACTGAAAAAAGGGTTGAGGGGTTTAGGGTTTAGGGGGGTTCATTTCAGGCACTCTTCTTGTTCTAACGAGAATTTGCTGGCTTCAGCTGGCTGCTAAACCTGACCAGCAGATGTGGAGGGTTTTGAATAGTTTGGGGGTTTAAAGGGAAATTGTGCATCTCGCAAACATGGCAGAGGCCTTTGGGCTTGTCTGTGCGATTTCGGACAGCGGCCACCAAGATCACCTAGCTGATTACGTTGGTATTGAGCGCACACACACGCTCTGAATGTGCTGTAACGTCTGAAAGTAATGAACCCGCAACCCGCATCTGCACTCCTGGATTCAAACCGCGAGGTGACCCAGATCGGAGACGCAGGTGCCGTTGCGCTGGCCGCCTCTCTGAGAGAGGCCACCGTCTTCAGGGTGTCGGGACGTACACAGCCCGAGGGCCGAAAGCCTCATTCTGCCGATGCACAAAGAAAGCCACTGCTCATCTTGTCTAGTTTTGAATGCTTAGGGTTTGGGGTTTAGGGTTTAGGCTAGTTCTGAATGCCCAAGAATCGACATACCGGTAACTTGCAACTGCAGCACAACCCTTCCGAGATCAATCGGCGGCTCTTGTTTTCATGAGCCACTTCATAAGCTTTCCAAGATCTCGCACCGACTGTCAGGCGAGACTGAGAGAGCTTCATCTGCGCGACAATTTGACCCTTCGGTTGGCAATGCCGTTCAGGGCGTTGGGCAAAGTTTCCGCTTCGTTGATGTCTGACCCTAACCCCCCAGGTACCTACTATACAGGGCCCTAGGGGCTCTAGTAACGTATATAGTAGGTACCTGGAGGGTTAGGGTGATGCTTTGTTTTTTTATAGGATGTCACAGACAAAGGCGGCTTGATGTGCCTTACACGGATATGCCGCCATGAACGCCGGGCTTGGAGCTTTCCTCATCGCATCGAATGTTCCCAGACTCCAATATAGGGGCCTTAATAACAATAACAATATTAGAATAGGGTTTTGGGGTATTTTGTACTATAATCACCCTCAGGAACCCCCAAAGCCCTGTTCTAATTATTAAGGCCCTACATTAAGTCCAGATAGCGCTCTGGGCATTTCAATTACTCACCCCTCTTGACTCAAAGAGACTCGCACCCAAACTCAGTGCCGTTCGAACTAACACTGCGGTCTGCTCTCCTTTTGGGGGAGTGGGTTATCGAAATCTTGATTGACAGGAGGTTTGAATTCGAGCTTCGCGTCGGATATGGAATGTTAGATAGATAGATAGATAGATAGATAGATAGATAGATAGATGGATATATATATATATATATGTGTATGTATATATATATATATAATATATATATATATATATATTTATATACATACAAACATACATTTTGCCCCCTCCCCCTGACAAGGGGCTTTGCATCCTAGTAGAAAGGCCCATTAAGGGCTGAATTGATCAGGGGTCCACATGACATAATATCAACCCCAAACCCCGAACCCCAAACCCAAAGCCATGTATACGTGGGTCAAGCCCCGAGCTACGACCACGAGCCTTCAACTCTGCTCGCTTCACTCTAGGATGACGACTTTAAAGATCTCCTAATATGGGGGCCTAAATAATTACCAACACTATTTTGGGGGGTTCCGTAATATACTTATACTATAAGATACCCCAAAACCCTATGCTACTCTGTCAGGCCCCTTTTTATTACATGTTTGACGTTTTCGGGGCGCTTAAGCCGCAGGCAAGCAGGGCAAGCAAGGCAAGCAAGCGCCCGTCAATCCGCGCACGCATCGCCACATGTTTGGGCCAGCAAGTTTCAGGTTCTTGAGCAGTTCTTGGGTAGTTCTCTAAATTAGGGTCCCTTTTAGGGTCCTTTTTATAAGTGTGCCGTACTATAATATATATATATATATATGGGACCTAAAAGGGGACCCTATTTTAGAGAACTACCCTCTTGGAGGTCCTGTAAAGTCTTGAGCGAACTCCAAACCTGATCTGGTGAGTGCCTTAAGATCTGAAACGGGTCCCGATGTGCTGCGAAGGCTATAAACCCACTTTCGGAGTTGTCCGACCGGCAACTAAACCCCTAAACCGTGAGCCCTAAACCCCTAAAGCCCAAAACCCCTGAACCCTAAACCCCTAAACCCAAAGCCCCTAAACCCCTAAAGCCCGTTACCCAGGATCGGGGACAAAGGTGCGCAAAGTCTCGCAGACGCCTTGCTCCTGGCTCGAACCCTTCAGTGGGGGGGTTGCACACAGGGCTACGAGGGTTTAGGGTTTGGGGTTTTAGGGTTTAGGGTTTAGGGTTTTAGGGTTTCATGGCTTAGTGCATTGCAGTCCCTGCTCAAAAAAGGGTTTAGGGTTTAGGGTTACGAACTGCACCGGCTCGATCTTCGGTTAGAACCCCAAAAGTCCCATCCCTGACCCAAAGCCCTACAATCCGAGAACCCAATACCTAAAGGGTCATACCCTACCCCTTTTTTAGGGCACCTACTTTTCTATATAGCACTTCCTAACCATAAAACTAGGTACCTAAAAAAAAGGGTAGGGTATGACCCTATAGGTAAATCATCGACAAAATGAGCTTCAAGTCTAATATCCATAGGCACGGACATCCGTATTCTACAAACGCCCAGGTCCAGAAATCCCAAATCCGTAGTTTGGCTGGCAGGGTCAAAGACAAGCAGATTTGGCTAATGGTCCGTATAGCTTCTCATTTAGAAAAGTCTCCTGGAGGCCCTTAAAGACCAAAAGAAAAACCCTTAAACTCAAGAGTTTGGCTCAGGGGAGTGCAGCCTTGGTTGATCTGCCAGTCGGCTGTCGATTCGCAGTTTCAAAACTTCCAACCTTAACATACACACATACACACGTACATGCATACATACATATATACATACACACATACATACATACATACGTACATACATACATACATACATACATACATACATACATACATACGTACTTACAAACCTATGAGGATCTAAAATCTTCGGTTTGATCCAATGAATTTCATGGACCTTGCCTAACTTGTCCAAGAGTGAGTGTCGGAAGACATCGTCTTGAACCCAGCCTTCAGTCTCCGTTCCCAGAGGCTCCACATACACTACCATTATGGAATTAGGTCCCAAAATATCCTTATTATGGTTTTAGGGACGTAATTCCATAATAGCAGTATATATGGAGCCTCTGGGATTTGTGGTTCCTTTAGCGATTTTCATCTTACAGGGTCCGCTCCGTAACAAGGGAGAGAGACTACAAGGAATTCCTGAAACCTTGAACCCTTAACCTCCGATTAGGCTCCAATCCCGGAACCTGACCCTAAACCCTAAACCACGGTTTAGGGTTTAGGGTTTAGGGTTTAGGACCCTAAACCCTAAACCCTGAACCCTAAACCCTAAACTCTGCCAAGCTTTGGACCCTAAATTTTGAATCATACCCAAATACTGGGAGCTTTGGACCCTAAATTTTGAATCATACCCAAATGCTGGGTCGGGGTTTACGGTGTGAGCTTTGTGAATAAGAGTCACATGACAGCGAAGGCTTTAGGGTTGAGGGTCATTGATAAAGGCCACCTCATGGAGCAGGGTGCCCCTACCTAGGCCCTATCAACCCTAAAACCCTGAACCCCTAAATCTCTCAACCTCTAAGTCCTGAAGCCCTAAATCCCTAAACCTCTAAACCCTGAAACTCTAAGCCTCTAAACCCCAAACTCAGGCATTGCTCGACCGTGGCGCTCCTGGCTACTTGTTTTGGCCAGCTGGGTCTTTCAGGCGTGCATCTTTGAGGTTTGTAGGGTTTGTGGGAGAGAATCCTTCCTATCTTGTACCTGTATACATGTATATGTTATAGATGCTTTGTATCAAATTACATTTTTCCATATACACACAGCTATCATACACACATGCATGTATAGACATATGTATGTGTAGACATGCTCCTAGTTACTATTGTATGTAGGCATGTCAGCAGGGTCGACCAGATTAGGTGTTGAGCTTTGCACTTGTCCGATGCCTCCTCGCGCATGCAAAGACCCTTCAATCAGTTTGTTTTCCCTTCACCTGCAGCAAGGCCCGTGCTTAACATGTGCTGACGGTTTCGGGGTTTCGGTATGAGGCATTTGCGTTTTGGAATTGAAGGTCTTTCCTTCAGGCGTGTTCGCCAATCGGACGCAGCATGGTATCTTCAACTTTTGTTTTTAGGGCGCGGTTTGTAGAGCGACTGCTTACTGTGCCAGCACATTAGCATTCCTAGTGACCGACGCTGGCGGATCGCTTGGTTTTTAAAAATGAGCTGCTTAGGGTTCATGTGACTGAAAGCCTTTTCTTTCTCGAGAGCCCTCGTGGGCGGTTTCATAATGAAGGGCCGTACGTGTCATTGGGTGTCCGGTGTTCATTCCCGCTGTCTTTTCCCCGCCTTCGTTTGGAATCACAGTGCACGGTCGCTTTAGCCCTGCGCAAACATGAAATCGAAACCACAAGTCAGCTGGAGAACGAGTCCAAGCATTCGCTGCTTGCCAGCCCAATTAATAAAGCGAACTCCCAAACAAGGCCCCCAAAGTCCAAACGAGCCGTCAATCCTAGCAGACAACCAAGACTGGATACCGTGTTACAGCCAAGACTGCAGTCCAGCATCTTGAAGAAATCCTACCTGCACTTTCCGCTGTGGTTCTGCTATCATAAACCCTAAGCCCTAAGCCCTAAACCCTAAACCCTAAACCCTAAACCTAAACCTAAACCCTAAGCCCTAAACCCTAAACCCTATAAACCCTAAACCTAAACCCTAAGCCCTGAACCCTAAACACAAATCCCTGCAAAAAAGAAAAAGCCCAGGACCTCAGCTTCAACCGGCACATCGGCGCCCTGGGCGTGCAGAAACTGACTGAGGCTTCCGTTTTCTCCACCCGACCCGCTCTGTGCATTGCATGAGATTTAGGGTTTCGGGTTTAGGGCTTTAGGGGTTTAGGGTTTGGGGTTTTAGGATTTAGGGTTTCGGGTTTAGGGTTTAGGGTTTCGGGCTTAGGACTTCAGGGTTTGGGTTAGAACTGCGGGCGGGTTTTCGGGTTGAGAGAAGATCGAATTAGGGGGTAAGGGTCTCCAACGGAAACTGGTCAAGGGGCGCGTAAGAGCTTCATGATGAATCAAGGCTCTGCCCGACTTCAGAAGATTTCGCAGCGAGCCCAATGATACCCCTCAAAGTGAGGACATTCCTACATCATTTTTCATATCATTGCCGTCTATTCCTGAATCATAAGGCGTAAGTCCATGCAGGGCCCTTTGGGTTGCATTGGGTCCTGATCAACCGTAAACCCTAAGTCCTTAACCCTAAACCCTAAACCCTAAACCTGTACACCCTAAACCCTAAACCATCCTCCATCCGTCGGCCCGATACCTTTTTCCAATTGTTTCCGTGACTCGATCGGGCCGGTGCCGTCTCGCAAAGGACTGCAGCAAGCAGATGACATGAAACCCATACTACTGTATACGCTGAACGCTAGACGGCAATGTTGCATGGCCTTCCTACAGTATATGCAAGGCTTTAGGCTTTAGGTACCGCTCCCTCTGCAGGCCGTGGAGCAGTCGGACACCATCACCGTGCCTACCTCGCGGTCTTATTGCCTAAGCAGGGATACACGAAGGGTATTTCAAGGGGTACTGTTAAGGGGTACTATAAGCGGTATTCTAAGGCAAAGGTTGCATTCTAAGTTTTCTGTGCGCGACTGGCTTTGCACCTCCTTATTGCTTCGTCGATGGGTAGGTCGCATTGAACCCATGTTGGTCTTTGTTATGCAGGTCCCATGCTGTCATCGCACACGCGGCTTTGCTTGACGAACTACATAGAAGCCTTGGGGTCATATAAGTTCATATGGTGCTCAGGTGTAAGACAGGCAGTGAAGCAAGAAGATCCAAATTCGTCCGAGCCAGGACTTGGCCTCGATGCGTCGTCGTCGTTGTTCTTCGCTTTACGGGGCTTTATTCGGAAAATGCGCCTTCCTTGCCATTTCTTCGCTTCACGCTGTCGCCTCTGCTGGCTCTAGCCGCTGAGAATTCCCAAAAACGAATCTGAGGCGCGAGGCAAGCAGCACCGAAACGACATTGGGCCCCTACATATGTCCCCAGAGAGCAAACAGCAACTCCGGCGGCAATTCCCAGGCAAAGGTGGTGAATGCAGCAGAGTTTTGACCCCATGCGAAGATGTATTATCCCAGCTCCCTCCTGACCCCTACAAAATAGTAGGTAATGATCCCTTAATGAGAGGGTAGAAGCCATAAAACGGTAGTTTCTTACACTAAACCCTAAATCCTAAACCCCAGGCCTCAAACTAAGCGCGCCTCCGAGTGAGGTGCTGGCGGTTCATGGCTTCCGCCGCAGCCGCCAAGAAATCACAAGGTTGTTTTTTGGGTAATTTAGGGGCCTTAATAATCAGAATAGGGACTTGGGGCCCATAATTATACTAGAAGTATAATAAGGCAGTATTGTTCATTATTTCGGCCCCTACACTACCTGGTATCAAGTAGCATTCCTTTAGCTCGTTGGTGGCCAAATCCACTGTGGGGTTTAGTGGGGGTTCAGGGTTTAGGGTGCGGTTCAGGCTGTTTGCATTGAGGCTTTCACAATCCATGTGGGGGCTTCCGAAAATAGGGGACACTAATATAATACCCCAATAATAGGTTCCTTGTTATAAGGACCCCAAAATAAGGTACCCTTATTTTCGGAAACTCCCATATGTCTAGTTTAAGGATTTTTTTCTAGAGGAGAGATGTAAGGCTCAGAAAGCTCAGGGCAGCCTTATAGACACATGAA